GATGTGCACACTGATAGTGGCGGCCACGGAGCCGAAGAGCCTGCGGGCAGGGACTGGCAGGGACTGGCGGAGGGGGTGTTTGTGCTGGCAGTCCTTCCTGAAAAGAACTTGAATGGACCAGCGAGCAAACCGTTTCTTGTTCCTGAGAAGGATTAAAAAAGTATACCCCATCTAAAAGAGGCTCGAATGGAAAACTAATTTTGGGGAAAACGGAAAGTAATTTTTAATTTTTTTTTTTTTAAAAGGTGTTTTAATGGATTTTCCAAATTAAAACTTTTCTGGTTGAATGGATGAAGGGGGCCCGAAAGGCGCGCGCCTTCTCTCCCCTTCCCTGGTTTCCTAGGGGAGATCGCAAGTTGAGTTTTCCCCCCCGAGTCTGCTGGGGCCGGAGAGCTCCAGTTTGACTTCAGGAGTGTGGAAGCCCTGTAAGAGTCATTCGTTCTAATTATCGCTTGTGACACTAAGTGGCTTTTTTAGAGAAGATAGAGAACCTTTACTCTATCAGACTGAAACCCCCATTTCACGCTGCTTTTTCTGGTCTTTATGTTAGTGTTAGCGACTAGACAACCAGTGAGTCCGCAGGCTGGAAGGAACCTGCGTTTGCAACGTGTTTGCAGAGAGGGCTCTCCTCTCTTTGGAGTGTAGGATGAGAGTTGTCTTGTTTTGTTTTCAGACCTCCGGGCTGTTCTTGAAGAAAACAAAACACGTGTTTCGAGTCAGCCTGTTAGCGTTCGTGCTCCGGTTTTAAGTTCAAACCGACCCTTTTCTGCTTCCTTAAAATCTTAACTTGTGTCTCCGGGTCTGGGAAGACTCATCTTGCTGCGTCCCCCGCAGCGAGTGGAGGCGGCTGCGAAGCCGCGGCCGTACGTCATGTCCTCTTTGCCTTTCCAGGTGTCGGCCGTGCCGCAGAGCTCGGGCAGCCATGGGCCAGCCATCGCCGCCGTCCACAGCGGCCACCACCACGCGGCGCCGGTGCAGCCTCACGGGAGCCAAGTGGTGCAGAGCCACGCTCACCCCCCCCCCCCGGCTGTCCCCGTCCAGGGCCAGCAGCAGTTCCAGAGGCTCAAGGTAACGCCGAGCATCGCTGCCTTAAGTCAACCGACCTCTGCCTAAATCCTGGGGCAACGCGGGGACCTTTTTCTCTGCGGTGTGTAGGGGAGACCTCCCTCCAAAGCCGGTTGGGGACCTCCTAAAAGCTTCCTTGACAAGGCTTCTCCTCTTCGGAAAGCTATTGAATGCAGAAAGGGACTCCTCTTTCTGCCAAAACCCTCTTGTTTCAAATACCCCTAATTTAAAAAAAAAATAAATAATATGGACTTGATAGGAAAAAATCAGGGGCAGGAAGGGAAAGGAGGAAGTATTGATCTGGGTTTTCCTATGAATGGGTTAAATTGCCAAAACATTTGGTGCTTTTCCGAACACATGGCTTATGTGGGTGGTTGCGTGGGAGTAATTTGGGAGTAAGGAAAGCTCTATTCTCGGATTATGCGCTGTAAAATCTTTAAAAAAAAAAAAAAGAGAAAACTCCACCAAAAATAACCCATTGAAGCGGCTACGTTTGGTTCAGCGAGAAGGCACACGTATATAAAGCGATGCCTATTTCTTAGTCTCTTCCAAATACAGGGCAAGTCTCTTCCAGTTTGGGTGGAACCCACTGCCTCGTTGGGCGAGAGGCTCTTTCCTTTCGCCGAATGTAGCGCGCTTCATTTCTAGAGACCCCCTGAAAATGGTTTCTTAATGTGTGGTTCTTTTTCTCCCGGTGAAATCGATGGCAAGTCCTCTGCCGATGTAAGACTGGGGCTTTCTTCCTTTGCTGTCGTTTAATTTCAGCCGAAAAAGAGGTCCTGTGCGTAGCTCTCGCAGCTGACGAGCGTGTGGCCTGGCTGTCGGAGGCGATAGCGACCCAGGGCTCTCGTTTTAGGCTGTGGCTGTTCCTTCAGTACATCTGAAAATTGGATGTTGGTACACGAACGGTTCATAAACTTCTTGCTGTTTGAGGTGTAAAACAATTTACCGCCCACAGTTGCCATTTTCGAAACCCTTATATGTCGAACTGAAATGTCTGGCTTTTAGAAAAAAAGCGCAAGCGTCCGCCTGGCAGAGATCTGCTACGCGGAATATGTCATTTCCACTTTCTGCTTATTCTTAGGCTTCGTAATAATTTCCACACGTGAATGCAGGAAAAATACTCAGTCTAGTTCTGTTTATCCTAGCAGTCACTTCAGTGATGGTAAATTTGGAGTATGGGGTGGGGTTTGTTTTTGTTTTTTTTTTTTTCTCTCCGAGTAATTCTGCTGATCTGTGTTGTTGCTTTTGTTTTTTTTTTTTTTCCTTTTTGTTTCTTTTTGGTACAGTTTTCTCTTGTGAGCCAGGAGTGGGGAGTGAGTATCTCTTATTCAAGTGGTGCTGGTAGTACACTAACCAGGCTCATGATCTTTTTGCTCCTTAATTCCCCGCCCAAGCTGAGGGCTAACAGCTGTGTTTTCAAATAATGTGTGTTTTGCAGAACAACGGGAGGTGGAAGAAAAATCTTCTCTCTGCTAATATAACCTGTCTCGTCTGTCCCCAGGTGGAGGATGCATTGTCTTATCTTGACCAGGTGAAGCTGCAGTTTGGTAGCCAGCCACAGGTCTACAATGACTTCTTGGATATTATGAAGGAATTTAAATCTCAAAGGTAATAAGCTGCATTTTGCTTCTTCCTTGCGGGTTAGAAAGAGGGCACGGGGGCGCAGAGCAGGAGCTAAATTCTGTCCTTCCGTGTGCAGCGTGACACAGCTCTAGCAGCAGCGTAAAAGCAGCCGTGCGCTTTCTTTTCTGAAAGTTAAACGCGTCCCTTCGTTTCTACGAAATCTCCGCTCGGAGTGGGAGTTCACGAGTTCAGCCTTGCTAGCTGATTCATCTGGTTGTCTGCCCGTTAATAATGGTCAGGCTTGGGACGAGATCTCCTAGATAGAAAATGCCGTCTGGGCTAATGAAATAATTCTCGTGTCATTCTGAAGTTCAGCGATGTATTTATGAGAATCACTTTTGCTTCGTTTCGTACGTTAGAGGTGATGAGGTAAAAATTCCACTGGAAAATTCTTGTGCGGAGAACTCGGTGTATCGCTGAGAGCGTCTTAGAGGATCGTGACGCTTTGATCTTATTCCTTCTTCAGTATTGACACTCCGGGAGTGATCAGCCGCGTGTCACAGCTCTTCAAGGGCCACCCGGACTTGATCATGGGTTTCAACACCTTCTTGCCGCCTGGTTACAAGATCGAGGTGCAGACGAACGATATGGTGAACGTGACAACGCCCGGGCAGGTTCACCAGATCCCCACTCACGGCTTGCAGCCCCAGCCGCAGCCCCACCAGCAGCATCAGTCGCAGCCTTCCGCGCAATCAACCCCAACACCAGCACAGCCCGCGCCGCAGCCGCCGCCTGCCAAAATCAGCAAGGTGAGAGGCTTTGAATGACACATGGGTAAGACGGGGATGCTGCTGCCTCCAGCTGAAAGTGGTGAGGAGCTAGAGGAGCGAAAAAGGAACCCCCGCGCTGCTCTTCCGTAGTAGTTGCGAACCGGCCTGTGTCGCGCTTCTGCTGCTGGATTAGTTTCTCCTTTTCAAACTTCAAGCTGCGTCGTAGTTGACTTGACAATAATTCAAATAAGGGTTTGGAAAAGCCTTGTTGCTTTCAGTGGGAAACTGAAGGATGCTGCGAGCATCTGGTAAAATGTACACGCGTTATGCAAAGAGCGATCCAGCGGCCCCAGGGAAAAGGTCCCTGAAATGTGTTTGACTTTCGCAAGAAGGGCTTCCTGGTTAAAGCGCCGGGCACGCGTTGCCTGCTTTTGCGTATATTGTCTCAGAATAACTGAAGTCCCAAGAAATTCTCCATAAAACAGAGGCTGTGATAACGGTGTTGCTCTTGGTGTGAAAACGTGCGTGTGGTTTCAAATGCTTGGGGCCATTAAGCCTTTAGAAGAGCTTGATTAGTTCTTTGGTAGATTCTGCATTGCTTAAAGTTTTGGTTTCGGATCGGACATTTTTTGGGAAAGA